CTCCTCATTTTCTTCTTCTTCTAACATAGTCAAGTCAAGTCACCTTTATTTATATAGCGCTTTTAACAATACAAAGTGTCAAAGCAGCTTTACAGTATTAAATAGGAAAATAGTGTGTCAATGATGCAGAAGGACAATAGTAAACACTCATTTTTCAGTTAAAGGCAGTTCATCATTGAATTCAGTGATGTCATCATCCAGCTCAGTTCAGTTTAAATAGTATCTTTGCAATCATTTGCAATCAAGTCAACGATATCGCTGGATATTAAGTGTCCCCAACTAAGCAAGCCAGAGGCAACAGAATGTAGAAAAAACCTTGGGAGAAACCAGGCTCAGTCGGGGGGCCAGTTCTCCTCTGACCAGACAAAACCAGCAGTTCAATTTCAGGCTAGCAAAGTCACATTGTGCAGAAGATTGCTATCAAATAGCACACCTAGGTTCCTAACTGATGACGAGGAATTGACAGAGCAGCCATCAAGTCTTAGACAGTGTTCTAGGTTATTACATGCGGAGGTTTTAGGTCCTATAATTAACACCCGTTTTTTCAGAATTTAGCAGTAAGAAATTACTCATCATCCAGTTCCACATAGCCTAGAGGATTCATAAGAAAATGGTGACATTAATACCTAAATTGCCTTATTAAAAGTAGACATGCATGCAGAGCCATATTAATGATTATTCCTATTGCATTTTGTCATCATGTACCTAGCAATGATCACATTTTCATGCATAATTTGCACACCTGGTAAGCAGTTCTTGTAAACCTCATTGCAGGGCTGCAGTGTGTACATTTTGAAAAATTCCTGGCATGGCTCAGACTTTGTTCTCCATTTTGTTACACCTGTATATTGAAATGAGCATTAAAAAATAAATAAAAAAAGGATTACTACAAAGATAAACATTCAGACATGGCAACTGAAAAATTGAATGGTATGGCACAATTTTAAACCTCTAATCAAATATGTAAAAGAAAATACATACCGTCAAGCCAGCAGAAGTGTGCCCTCTTTCGAAATGAGTCTGTATACACCAGACTTCCAAATTTGGAACAAACCAAAGACAGATTTAACAATGCAGCATCACCCTCCTCCAGGACCACGTGAAGAAGATTTTCCGACAGGACAGCATCTGGCAACTATTGGGTATTATAAACAAACTAAAAATTACTGCAATTTCCAAACATCACGGCCTAACCTCCCTTAAAACAGAATGTGCATTCTATGGGAGCAGGTAATACTTAAAACATTTAACAGGATCAGCCTGATGTCTTTTGATGACAATTGTTATGGATGTGGGGTTATGCCCAAGATGAATGTGATGGGGAAACAAAACCACTTGTTACCATTAGCATGAATACACAGATGCTGATTGTGCAGGAACATCCTGGAAAATAAATCAAAATAGAAAATTAACATTTTCCTTACACACTAATAATAATAATAATAATAATAATAATAATAATAAAAAATAAAAAAAAGATATATCATGAATTCACAGTTCACAGGGTTCAAGGCTTAAGCTAGTCCCAGACTAAAATGCATGTTTGAGCTGTTTTAACTGAAAGCGTATCTTAAAATATGTCAGTGCCATGGTTTTGCCTCAAGATGCACACCAGTAATGTTTTTTTTCTAAGGCACGTTTATAAAAGCTACTTAAATGTTCCAATTTAACTACGGCCTAGTCCTGGCTTAATCCAAGCCCTGTCTGTGAAACCAGGCCTAAAAGTTATACGAACAATGAACAGTTCCATTATATTTTGCATAGATTTTACAAAGAAAGACAATCAAGTGTTTTGCATTCACATCCTTAGAACTTCAACTGGAACACAGAACTGTTTTTTTCCCCCCATGAAACTCCATAGAACAGAATTAACAAACGTAAAATGCATGTGTGGTTTGTACAATGCTTACGGATGCCATTATCCTCAAAATATATGGCATGCTTTAAATGCTTTGCCTGAAAGTGTTCAGGATTTGACATCACCCCAGCTGTTCAGTGTAGGACAACTGCCTGTCCCAGAATAGATGTCATCTATTCCAAAAGCAAGTGGTACACCCGCACATGCATTGTATTAGAGAAAACAACATCTCAAAATAGCAAAACACTCATTCACATATAAAAGGTAGAACATTTCAGAAGTTGAATAACATTTTCCCATGTATAAGTTTTTGCATGTTCTGTTCAAATTAACTTAAGTTATTAAGATTTTGGAAATGTAATGGCTTCTTACCTGTCATAACCAATAGTCAGGTACACAAAAGGTGAAGACAGAAATAAGGGGAAAGAAGGCAGAGAAAGAAGAGTATTTCTTAAAAGAACTGTTTGGTCCGTTGTTATTGTAAGACGAAAAAAATCATCAATAAGTTAATGGATATCAGACAATCTCCTGAAAAATTCAACACAAAAATATATGGTTAGTGTAGCACGTGTATCTTCTATAATTCCAGTCAAGCAACATTCGTTTTATATTATTCAGTAGACTCTGTTAACACGTTAACAAACGTTAATATTTGAAGTTAATGTTAGCCCCCTAACATACTAAGAGCAATGATTATACATGATGTAACATGGTACACAAACTACCTTTCTACCACTAATTAGATTACACTTAACAATTAAACTAAAGTAGGCAAAGTTACACTGTCGTTCACTAGGATAACAATTCAGATCAAACATGCAACGCAACAATTATTCATTACTCCGATCATTAATTTCCGAACTTACCGCTCGAACAATCGCCACCATTACTGAAGTAGTTGGCTGCTGTCGTAGTTACATGTGATTGGTTGCGTCCACGTTGGTCGATACTGATTGGCTGCCACCGAGTGGCAGGTCCCTCCTACCTTCCGGCTGCCAGTAACTGCCTTCCGGCTGTCAATGGCAGCCACTTCCTGCTGCCAGCTGACGATTTTTTATCTGAACCCCTGCTGGATACCTCCGTGAAGTTGGCACCCCATAAAAAGAAATAATCATCAAAACTATGCCATTCGTTTGTGCTACGTTTGTGCTGATTTGTGCCCGTTTGTGCCGTTAAAACAAACACTGCATCTATTTTCCTTCCTTAGATATAACCAAATATTTTCGGGAGCTGTGACGTCACTCTCCACCCCAGTTCGTCTAAATCGTTAATAAATCTCCACACCAAATGCCGCGTTTATTTGTGCTCGATTTGTGCCGTGAAAAGAAATCCTGGTTTAATTCTTCTTAAATAGGCCTATTTAAAAGGGGGAAAACAGAAGCACTTAATAAGCCATTATCTATAGGCTATATGTAACTGTAATTGCATGGTATTACTGCATTTGACAGCTAATATTATTATATTATAATATTATGTTAAAGTTTTTCTGTCCCCCTTACAAACGATTATTTATCGCACTGCATAAGAAAACAAAAAGAACATAATGGACTGTAGAAAAAGTGCTCAAAGATAAAATAGCCTTAAGCTATACTGAATGTGTGAAAAAAAAAAAACCCACAAAAAACTGATAGATAATGTTGCTACATATCAACGAGGTAAAACTTTTTATTAATATTTTGCAATAAAAAACTCACATGAGCGTGTGGTATGCAATTTTTAACACATTAAATTATGATATGCAAGTCTAGACATTTCATCTTATTTCATTCAAAGATATTTTAAACAAACACACCTTGGCTGTCCTTCACGCATAGCCTATTCCTCAAAGAGAAAATACAGCTGAGCAATATCATGGTAATGTTTATGCTCCGAATATTTCATCTGCAAAATGCATAATGCAATACACATTTAAATTATAATAATAATAATACACAATAGGCTACTAAGTGAGAAAACAGTTGATGTCGATGGTAAAGTCAGGCTACTTGCTAGCTATATTAAAATATACATAGTAACCTTGTTACATTAAAGAGCCTGCTTTAACGGATAAAAATAGTTTTGTTGGTAGGCTATACCTTGGTATAAATTATTGCATTTATGTATCAGTGATATTTGTTACTTGAATATAAACCAGTAATTTAGTCCTATGTTGCATTTTTGTAACAAATGAATACAAATAGCAACAAACAAGAACACGAATATGTGTTAACGGCACAAATCAGCACAGATCGAGCACAAATGAACCACGCTGGTTTGGAGCGATTTTGACAACATGGGGTGGAGAGTGACGTCACACGGTCAAAAAAATAATGTTTAATATCTCAAACACCAAACCAGCACAAATGTTCGTTTTTGCGGCACAAATCAGCACAAACGTAGCACAAACGAATGGCATAGTTTTGATGAATATTTCTTTTTATGGGGTGCCAACTTCACGGAGGTGTGCTGGATACTGACCACAGACTGAATCAAATCCTTCAGCTAAAAATAAAATGTTACACAATACGTGATATTTAGCTTTTTTCACGTATAAGAAATGTTTCGAAATGTTATAAATATGCGTTATTTTATTTTTATGGTCAACAAATATTTCGTGTAAGAAGGTGCTAACACTAAAATGGTTATTAAAGTAAAATTAAACAAAAACCGTAATCTGAAATTGAAATAAAGCTGAAATAAATGAAAATAAAATACTATAAATATTAGATGAAAAACTTAAACTTAAAAAAACAACAACTGAATGTTACTGAAATAAATATGTTTAAGTTGAAGTACTAATAAATTTAAATCGTTATAAAAGCTCAAAACAAAATTACTAAACTAATTAAAGCTAAAAATTAAACTACAAATTAATGAAAATTGTAAACTGTAATTGAAATAAATATCGATATTAGATAAAGGCTAATTGAAAATATTAATAAATACTATCATTGCATATCAGAAATGTTGAAATAATACTGTTTTGAAGTGTTGTTTTACATATAACTGATTATTAGTTTTATTTTACATGTATTTTATAGGAATTAATTTTGTTACAAATATTTGGGATATAAACACAAAACTGCATTGATTGTCAGTCAGTTCAATAGATCATGTCACATATTCTGAGGCTGTTTATTACTCTGCAAACAAAGAACAGGTTTCATGTTTTATTTTCAAAAGAGAATCCAAGTGTGAAATGACAATAACGTTATAAATGTCCTCTACATAATATAATACTGCATTTTTTACATAAATAACATTATTCCCCTTATATATATATATACACACATACACACACATCACAGGACTGAAGAATGTATTTTACAGGAATGATTCAAGGTTTTAGTGTGTATAAGTGCACTTGAATAAACAGGGTTTGCTCTAGTTTCCATCACTAATGTTATTCTGTGAGATTACATTAAGATTTTCAGTCCAGCTGAGAGTAACACAGTAAAACACGGTAAATACTGGATATTTCTGATGTGTTGAGGATTTAAACGTCCTCACTCAATGGTAAATTTCAGCTTCTAAGATGAGAAATACACCAGGAGAAACTAGCTGCGATTTGACCTGCTGCAGAACCTGCACAACAGCCATCATCTTCATCATCATCAGCTGGTCTGGGATCAGTGCAGCTGCTGCTCAGAGTTGATCTCGCTGTAGATTATTTTGACGATACGAGTCAGTCAACATCTTCAACAGAACCTCGTCGGCCTGAATGCCCTCCATAAACTCCTCCTGAGAGAGTTCACCTAAACACACACATTTACATAATTAATTCATGTGAATTCATTAGAGTAATTAATTTATGGATGGATGGATGGATCTGGAATAGTTTTAGTGTGGTTTCAATCTTACTTAAAGGGGTCATAGGATGCTACATGCACTTTTACAAGTTGTTTGAACTGAAATGTACACAACCACCCCATAATGATAAAAATCCACCCAGTGTTTTTTTTTTTATCTACTCAAATCTTTACCCCTTTCTCAAATCGAGACTATCTCAGATGCCTGTCTGTGTGATGTCACAAAAACAGGCCCCTCCCACGATAGTTTGATTGACAGTAGCGTTTCAGCACAGACTGGACTGGTTTCTTATCTTAGCCCCGCCCTGAGTGACTGTCATCAGTCCGCCATTGTTTCACCGCCGGAGCAGATGTAGACAAGAATGACTCCTAAGTGATTGAGGTGTTCTGTTGTTGGATGTAATAATGAACATAGCAGTCGTCATTTACTCCCGACATCTGAGCCGCTGAAGACACAGTGGATTACGTTTGTTTTTGTAGGAAATGTGCCCCCGATTTACATAAATGCATCTATGTTCGCGCGAATAATTTGTGATCCAGCTTCACCTACAGAAGAAGTGAGTATAAGGTTTTTTAAAGAATATTTGCAAATCGGAAATTTGAAGGAACATGGAGGAACTGGTTTATGCTGGGACCAAACTCTCCCACTCTTTTGCTGCAAGCCCCTAGATATCAACTAAAAAACGGTGGGCCCCACAACCACCAAAGCCTGTGGGCCCAGCTCGTCGTCCTCCTCCTGTGAGAGCTCTCTGGCCGCTGCCACAACGCCAGGGCCCAAACCCTCCTCCATCTGCTGTAGGTGAACCAAAAACAACAATAGCAGCAACATTCACAAATGTTTACAGAACAAGCGGGAACCCAGTGTGCCTGTAGTTTTCTCTATTTCTGTTTTATCACGTGATAGAAAGTCTAAGGCCTTCTCAAGCCATACGGCTGACTCATCTAATCTGCGGCCTGTCATGCATCAAACTAATATTGCTGTAAAGACACAAGCAATGCCATCAAGTTAGCATTTTTAACATTCGCTGAAGTATTGAAGTATTTATGTGACTATGAGAAGTTAGATATACAGGGGCTCTTGGGATAAACATTTCTTGAGTAAGAACATGTGTTTACCTCTCTTCCTCTGAGGAGGTTGAGGCGGTCAGCAGGGGCTGCAGAGCAGGAGCAGTCCCAACCTACCGTGTTCCATCTCCTCATTTTGGGGGCGTCACTTCTCGTACTCCGCAGAGTCCAGAGTCCCCTGCCGGTTCACCGCTTCAGGGCACTAAGCTAGCCGCTCTAAGTGTACCAGAGGCCAGTCTCATGAGACTGGTTCCCTTAGTATGTCACCTGGCGGTGTGGGAGCCCCTGCCAAGCGTGCCTCCTTGGGTCCTGCCCTGAGCAGGCTCTGGTTTTATCAGTCGAGTCTTCGTAGCAGATGACGCGGGTCTGAGGACCGTCATTTTTAGAGAAGACTTCTAGCGGTGCAAAGAAGCTCGCGACCTCCACAGAGGTCTCTAGAGCAGCTAGTACAGCCGTCCCCTGCCGATTCGCCGCTCCAGGGCACCGAGCTAGCCGCTCTGATTACTCCAAAGGTCAGTCTCAAGAGACTGATTCCCTTAGTAGACTAACGTGTCTCGGTTACTTTTGGCCTGCTGTACATGAGACCCCTACAGTGGTGGCTTAAGACCAAGAGGTTCTCCCCGAGGGGAAACCAGCTTCGCATGCTCAAGGTCACGTGGCGGTGCCTACGTGCCTTAGACATGTGAAGGAAACCTTGGTTCTTATCTCAGGGCCCGGTACTGGGAGCTCCTGGTCGCCGCATATGCTAGCGACGGATACATCTCTCACTGGTTGGGAGCGGTCATGAGTGGCCACTCAGCCCGCGGCCTGTGGAGCGGCCCCCATCTCACGTGGCGCATGAGTTGACTGGAGATGCTGGCCATGTTTCTAGCTTTAAAACACTTTCTTCCAGGCCTAAGCGATCGCTATGTGTTGGTGCGCACCGACAACACAGCAGTGGTCTCTTATAAATGTGGGGGCAGACATCCTGTCGAGGCAGGGGCCGAGGTCCGGGGAATAGATGCCTCACCCCGAAGGGTGAAGCAGACTTGGAGAGTCTTTGGCCAGGCTCAGGTGGATTTGTTTGCGACTCAGATGTTATCGCATGGTCCCCTCAGGTTCTCTCTCTGACTCATCCATCTCCACTGGGGCTCATCCAGCTCCACTGAGGCTTCGTCTGTACACCTTTCCCCCGATTGTTCTGCTCCCGGGAGTTCTGGAGAGAGTGCGCTGGAACGAGGTCAGTCGACTGCCAGTAGCCCCGTTCTGGCCGGGCCGAGTATGGTTCTCGGACCTGATTTCTCTTCTCGACAGCGCTCCATGGGAGATTCCCGTCAGTAGAGATCTCCTCTCACAGGTGGAGGGTGCGCCCCCGCCCGGAGCTGTGGAAGCTGTGGGTGTGGCCTCTGAGGAGGCACAACTCATAGCTTTCGGTCTCTCAACCGAGGTTGTTAAGACCATCCTCCATCCAGAGCTCCCTCTATGAGGAAACTGTATTTCTTGGTGCGGAGACCGCCAGCTCGACCCAGCTAACTGCCCGTTTGGTACAGTTCTGGAGTTCCTGCAGGCCTGTTTATCCGCAGGGTTGACCCACTCCACCCTAAAGGTCTTCGTGGCGGCCATTGCGGCCTACCACGCCCCTCTCAGTGGCCATTCATTGGGAAGACACCCTCTTCTTACACGTTTCCTCTGCGGAGCGCTGAGGCCGAGGCCTCCGGCCAGAGAAGCTTATGCTAAGTGGTGAATCAGGATGCTATTCCATAGCCTTGAGTCCTCTGATCTCCCCTCTCCTTTGGAGGTCAAGGTTCACTCCAGAAGTTGGCCTTCGGGACGGCAGGCCTTGCCTACTTTAGCCACTCCTGGCTCCCTTTTCTATCGCCTTAGTTGTGCTCTTCCACACTAGGCAGGGATTTGCAAGTCTGGCGGCGTGGGCATTCTCGTTCCCGTAGCGTCTCAACGCAGCTCGAGTTCCTGAAGGGGAACGTCTGGGTTCCTCAAAGGGAACGAGACGCTGCGTCTCAGGGCCATACTTCCGGCATCCCTGCCAGCGCTTGCTTCACTCCTAGAAGCTGATGCCGGTTTCACCGCACGTGCTTTTATGCTTCCTGGTCGCTACTTCACTCCGCCTGTGATGTCTCACCCATCCATTGGACTGATTATGCATGTGATTCAGAGCGTAGTCACGCTGGAGGCGTTCCCGTAGCGTTTCGACGCAGCGTCTCATTCCCTTCGGGGAACCATGGTTACATGCGTAACCTGGAGACGTTTTGTTCAAATTGATCATTTAGAGTCCTTAGAAATTAATGTATTAAATATGATAGTTATATAGGATTAAGAGGATAACATTTAATTCATTCTTTAGTGTTCTCTTATAATAAATTACATCCTAGAGGGACTGATTTTTTCAGCCTTTAAGGATCAAGAATAAACACCAACCTGTTTGTTTTTCAGTGTGTTTCATTCTGCAGGGTTCTGGATCTGTCATGTGCTCACTGTCCTTCAGTAAACTCTGTCTTCACTTGTAGGCTGATGAGAATATTCTGGCATTTATAGGAAAACTGAGCCTTAGAAAAAGAATGATAATTCCATTAAAAAACGCGGGATTCGGCAGCACGGTTTTAGCTTTTTATGTGGACATTAGTGTGCTTATTTGGCATAGTTATATTGGCATAGTAATAGTAGGTGTCTGTGGTAAAAAAAGAATACATACTTGAAAATACCATTAGAGTTCGAACAGAGTACCTTAAATGTTATAAAACGTCTCTATTAAAAAAAATAGCATTGTTTGTCACTCACAACTGACATAGATAAAACAAACTAATCACACGCATCTTTACAGTTTTTTTCTGCTCCATTTCTGTCTGCCATTAACCATATAGGCTTTAAATGAATATGTTCATATCCATGAAAGCACGAAAAAACACGCACATCTTTATCACTCACAAACACATCTTTATCACACAAACTTTAAAAATACACGCAATGGTTTGTGTCCGCATGACTTTAGTTTCCCGTGATGTTCCTTTCCTGTTGAACTAAATCAGTCTGCAGACGCCAGAACAGGCGCATAAATAGTGTTTTATCCGATTAAAACAATTTAGAAAGAACCTCGTAGGATGTTGATTAAACAAACCATGTAAAAAAAATTTTAAGGATCAAAACAAGCGAAATATCTGAACTGCTCGACTCACCTCAGAAGACACAGCAAACACGCGCTGAGTGAATGAAACTAGTGGTAACGTCATGAGGGCGATGCGAGAATAACGGTAGCTTTTCAAAACGCGCCAAATATTGCTCACAGTCACAAAGACAGAAAATTTGTAATGAGGCTCTTTTGAGATGAGCAAAATCTGCGCTGAACCAATCACCGGTGACCACCGCGAGATGCATGCCGGTTAGAAAAGTGTCCGAGTCACGCTGACGTGTGCCAAAAACCTCGGATTGTGCAGTCGAGCGCAGTTGCTCTCCACTGACTGCGCTGATCAAAAGCATCATGGGAAACGACTGACTGACGGCACAACTTAATGCTCATTGGTTCAGACAACTGTGATGCTGCGTTCTCTTCTAAAATGTTTAAAGGGGTCATATGATGCGATTTCAAGTTTTCCTTTCTCTTTGGAGTGTTACAAGCTGATTGTGCATAGATAAGATCCCTGAAGTTGCAAAGACTAAAGTCTCAAAACCAAAGAGATATTCTTTATCAAAGTTAAGACTCTGCCACGCCCCCCTAAAACGGCTCGTTCTAACACGCCCCCACATATCTACCTCACTATGTGGCAATATTAGCATAATGCGGCCCAAATGTGCACGCAAAGAAAGAAGACGTGGTTTCAGTAACCGCAGTTAGTGTTGAAGCAGCCATGTCAGTGAGACGCTGTGTGTTTCTAGGCGAAAGCAAAAGCACTTTATTTGGCTTTCCGAAAGTAGATGCATTTAGGAATTTTAGTATTTAATAATAATAATAATAATAATTTTAATAATTTAAGATTACTTACAACAGAACAGCAATGCATTTTATGGACGACCGTTTCATGAACCTAGGAGAGGAGTTTTTATCTGGTTCCATGTGATTATGTATTTAAATTATATTATATATTTAATGTATTTTGCTGCTGCCACACAGATCTAAAACAAACATGGGATTTATTTCCCAGCAGTTTACCTTCACAGACATAACCGACTGTTTTGTAACTCGTGTGTGTTTTTAACGCAAACTTGTGTGTGAATAGTTTAGTACTCACATGCTGTGACAGCTGTGCGTGTGCTTTGGTTGTGTGCTCTCAGAAAACCGTATATCAGAAGTTTAAACTCGTATGCTTTAAAACGCATGATTTCAGCGCAATAAACATGAT